GAAAACGCCCCAATTCCAAGAGTTTTCGTAAATAAAATAGTTGTAGGTTACGATAAAATGAAACTATTTACAAAGTTTCAGATGGATGTTAATAATTCGATAAAAAGGGGTTTATACCACGGACTATAACGTTACTAACGTACCTGGGAGCTTTGGTTATAGTCCTGAATGTTTTATAGTAGACATGTTTGTAGTTTAAGTCTGTGGGTCTAGGAATATATTTTTGAGGCATAGATATAAACTACTAAAATTACTTATAAAGCTTGAAAAATCAAAATATATAATGCATGAAATAGTCGTTCAGAAATTGCTTGAGAACTATATTACCGTAATCATGTTAAAGAAGTAAAGCAGGGCATGTCAAAAAAATATTTCAAGTCTTGTTTAATAAATTTAGTATAGTTTAGTAACATTTGATGCCATAATTAATTAAATTTGAACTAGCCCTATTTGAGTCGAAATTATTTAATTAGGCTTGTAAATGAAAGTAATGAGATATGCACGCTGTACTAGATTTTTTATATTAGTTGAAGCCGTAAAAGTATTCGTACTGTTTTCATTCTATTATATACATAACCGTATATTTTTTTTTTTATCGAAAACAAAATACCAAGAAAATGTCAAAGGCCGACGTTGGAGACCTCATGATATTGAGCTTGTGGAAGAAAAATCTCATTCCTTTGGAGAACGGTGAAGCGTAAAATCACGGAGATATTCTATACGTTCACTGTTCCAAGCGCTGAGATAAAAATATAAGAGAATTGTGGACACTAAACTGAGGATCGGATTACGACTTGTCTTAGCCAATGTTCTCGTGGAAAGTGTTTGGCACTTTCATTTTGAGTGAATGAACACCGATCTCAGTTCGTTCATTAAATAACTGTAGCAGATCAAAGGTGTCGATCTATATGGAGAAGTAAAGCATTTAGGACGCCTCCTCCTAAATGCTCTAAATGGTCTTCAACACCAATATTATGAATGGTTCGCATCTTTATGCTTATATACAATCTAAAAATAACTTTAAATCTTACAAAATTATGTTGATAAATACATAAGGATAATAAGTTCACTATTATTTGTATAGATGCGTAGCATACATTTGTCTAAAATCAATTCCAGTTTAGCTGTGATTACACATTATCTAAACCATAGCGAGAACGAGCGTCTGTAAGTATATTTGTACTTGTCTCAGGCGTGTTTTCCCGTGAAACTCTAGATGGAGTAATACAAATATGCATGTTAGTCTATGGTGAGGTCTGAAGTTTAAGAATTCAATTTTTTTAAGTGAAAACTTCTTTCGACGCATTTTGCACTTTTTTGTAGTTCGGATCGTCAGATTTCCGAAGTGTTAACGCTCGGGTAAAGTTGGCTAGAGCCAACTAATTAAATTTTTTTTACATAAAGGATGTCTTATTGAAAATATGAATTAAAATATCTCAGAAAATAAAAAATCAGACCTGCATACAGTAATCGAGAGAATTGGTCACCATTATATCCTCTTTAAAAATGAGATATTTTTTATAATTATATTTCATATTATTATTATCGCCTAGCTGATTTTTTCACTTCTATCGTGTGGTCTAAAACACACACCTTAGTTTTTATTTTGACTTACCTATATATGTAGTAGTAAGGGTAAGTATTGCGATCGTGAAAATTTGCGAATTTGAGTTTTCAACGGAAATACACGTTTTGAGGTCTCTTGAGTCCAAATAACCAAATCCCGCAAAATGTTCTGTGTGTATGTGAACATTTTAACTCAAAAACGAAAAGTCGAACGAAACTGATATTACTTATTTTCTTTTTATTTTTTTAATCTTATTTATTGAAAAATATTACAATTTGTCTCAAGGACATTTATAAAAGTGTTCACAGATCACATTCACACTCTATGTACAGTAAATAAAATAAATTATACAGAAAAATAATATATATACAATAAATAAGAATAAAATAATCTTTTTTATTTTTTTGTCCTCCCCTTCCTCGCCTCTAAGGCTATACGGGGGTTTTCCCGGGCCAGGGAGTGTGGGCGGGGATTCAAAAACTCCTCCGGGCGCCGGGACGCGTGACAATTTTTTTATCCAAGTGTAATGTATCAGGTTGCCGGGCAACGGCAGTGCAATGCACACGCGTTAGCCCATTCGGCCACCCCGCCCACCAGAATAAAATAACCTAAAAATAAATGAATAAAAAGAACACATACATAGATATTACGTATTTAAGGTTTGTATATGGCTGAGATGTGACAGCAACTTTTTCCTTAAAATCGGCTAACCGAAAGTGCCACTTTATAATAGCGGTAATATAGATTTTTATAATTTCCTCGAAACGGTTCTTTTTATTAAACTCGGTGTATCATTGTATAATTAAGTGGTCTTTAATACAATTCATTTAGGTCTTATCTCCATTGATGTCGCTTTACAGTTCTTAAATGCTCAAGTTTCATATACGTCTTCCTCTAAAGTACGTTTAATATGGTTTATTTAAAAAAAATTAACTCTATTATCTTGACAGTAAATATAAAATATGGCTAAATATGAATTTTGAAAAAATATGATAATTGGAAACTGGAGAAAAAAAGAAAAATGCTTATCCAGATTGAAAATGAATCGCCGGAAATAACAGTCAGAAAGTATAATATATATATATATATATATATATATATATATATATATATATATATATTATATATATAAGTTACGAAATAACTTATCAATCAAAATGTTAAAATTAAGTCCTTCCATATCCTTTATAGAGGGCGTCCGATATGTGGAAGATCCCCGTATACATAAAACTATATATGTACACATATATTCTCCTCAGTATACATATAATTGTTCTGTTATAAGTATAAATATTGTTCTCAGAATATCAAATTCCTGCTCTCGGTTATGGAGGAACATATCAATAACAATAAATCAAAGCACGGACGAGTCCGTTATAAAAGGCGTCCGGTAAGTGTGAAGCCTCAATATTATTGTATTAAATTAATTAAAATTTGATGAGGTTTAGAAAAATCATTCGGTATAGAGAGATGTCCGCTAAGTTAGGTTTGACAATAGTCTCCTTTCTCCCATTAATTGAGACATAACGAGAATCATATTGCTTGAATGTTTGAATTTATATGGCGATAAAGAACTGCATCAAGAAGATAAGCCCCTTTCTAGGATTTATTCTGTGTTCAAAGTACCGTTCGAAAGAAACTTAAAAAAAAAAAAGTAATGCAAATGTTTTGTAAATAGCTTCAAGCAACATCCATGGAACAAGGCAAGGTTATGAATCAACAGTGGAGAGATTGATTGCACAGATTGCTTCAATGAAGATTGTCAATCCCCCATCACAATGATCAATTACAACAAAGAAAGCCGACTATTAAGGTTATTTCGGAAAGATCATCGAGATAGCAATCTATCAGAAATCTATCATCTGAGTATTCCCATAGATCATCAACAATAAAAAAGTATTAGGCCAATATCCAAGCCTATATTACCGAATTAGGGACATGAAAGACATTGGCAGAGAAAATATGTGACTTTGGCAATCTTTTATAAAAAACAAAAAAAATTAATTTATTTAAAATGACTTGTATTAATAAAATCGGACATTATTTTTATTAAGAAAATATAGATATTGATTAGGTTTCATCACCTAATGCACTTTTACTAGGAATTGGGAAAATCTAATACACATTGAATGTCTAAATATATCTTTAATACAATATCTATAGATACACTAAATATCTTCTCAATGCACGAAATTTTCATATTTCTAACACAGAGGGCCTGTGCGAGAGAGGAAGAAAAAGAATCAGATAGCCCTAAAAGACTCCTCTTTCAAAATTTCAATTCTCTAACTTTATTCGAAGTTACAATAGGTGTGCGAAAAACGGGTATAAAACTTTTGGATACATAAAAGTTTTGAATAAATTTACTAAAACTTTAATGTTATTGTCATGCCTAGAAAATTAGATCGCTGAAAGATTTACTACGTTACATAACACTATTACTAATCAATTACTATTTTTTACATAACATGAGATCAACTTCCCATGTCTCACATCATCTCAACTTCTTCCTAATAAAACCCAACTTAATTAATTTGGAATTGATTATTACTAAACGGGAAAGTTTTCATTAAAATGGGGCATCTAAAGCACAGGAGGATCAAATCATTTCTTATTGAAAAAAATCATCTCAAGTATTATTGTTTGTGATTATATTTAGTAAGACTTCCAAAATCACCGAAACACCATTTAATCATATAGGTTGGTAGTTAGGATTTTTTATTTTTTTGGTTCTCACCCTCAAGGCTGTACGGGGGATTCCCGAGCCAGAGAGTTGGACGGGGATTTAAAAGACTCTTCCGGCACCGGGACGCGAACTTCTCACTATCTCATATATCAGGTTACCGGGCAACGGCGAGGTGCTGTGCACACACGTTAGCCCGTTTGGCCACCCTGCCCACTGGTAGTTAGGATCTTTTTTCTTCTTCCAAAATATTATATATATATATATAAAGCTTTCGAAATGAAGCCCCCCTCCCGAAAAAAAAATTATATTCTGGATCCGCTAGTGATTTGAAGTATAGGTGGAGAATAGAAAAACAAAAAAAAATAATAAGGTATAAATTTCAAAACAGAACTTAGTTTCATTTGATGTAAATTTCCTCTAGTTTGCAGTGAAGCAGTTGTTAATTACACTAATTGAATATTTTTTTAGTCATTGCTTTCTATTCAACGAAAAACACAAAAGTAAATTGCCTACTTTTCTGAGGAAAATCGGACCATGGTTAATATGAAATATTTTCTAGATCTCAAAATCTGTTAACACTCCTATAAATACTTTCTTCTACTTGAGAGACACCCTGTATAACGTAGATTGCTTATGCTAATGTTAACAGATTTATATACATGGTCTGATCCAGATAATATTAGATATAAGCCTATTCAGAATAACTTGTATTTATTCAATTGTGAATGCCCTATATCCCCTGCAAGGATGGGAGGCCGGCGGAAGGGAAGCACTCCCTATAAAGATGCTGATTCGATACAGGAATCAAATCTGACGTGGATTTGCATTGCAGATGGCGGATGGGGCAGTCCTCCCCGATCCCCAACTTAATATTTAACAACCTCCAAGGCTGCCTATTACCGCTACCCTCTTCCTTTTCATTTATCTCGATATATAATTCAGTTCCAGCTACAGTCATTTCTGGCCCCACTTCTTCTTCATTATTCATCGATGAGACTCATCGCTGCTTCCAACCCCTAAGCATCTTCAGGGTCCGCGAGTTCTGGGTATTCCATGGTCATAAGGACATCGGGAGGTTTATTCAAACTCAGGAAAGCTTCGGCTTGGTTAGACTATTCGTTGTTTAAAAAATAAAACTGAAATCTTTAATATTCATCTAAAAGAATTATTAATATATCTTTAGCTGGTCGATGACGATTTGATAGTTTACACTAGCAGATCCACGGTGTGGAGGGAAATGGCTTTCGGTTCCCAAAATATATATTTTTGTGTTGGTCCATATTTGTTTATGTGAGTGATATGAGCTAAACGCTTAAACAATTACAATATGTAATTTTTATAAATCATAAACTAATACAAAAGAAAAAATATAAATAAGTTATTCTTAAAATCATTATAGTTCATGGTATTAATATTTTTTTATACCATTTTATGATAAAACAGGCTTTCAAGGACCACTTAAAGTTCATTTTATATAGTTTCTTACAGAATTATTTTATTACAGAAGTACTTTTTTACAGAATAATTACGATATGAATACAAAATAGCTTCCCCAAAATGGAATCCTGAATCTGCTACTGCTAGTTTCTGTATATACAACACTCTCTACCTTCCAACCCTACTGTACGTTAGTGAGAGCTGGTTCCTTCTAGATAGGCATAAAAGTAGACTTACCGCTGCCGAAATGAAATATCTGAGAAGAGTAGCTGTCCGAACTAGAAGAGATTGCATCCGATACGAACGGATTAGAGAAAATGTTAAGGTGCCACCAATGCTGAAAACCGTGGAAAAGAAAACGCTGAAATGGTTCAGCCACCTTATGAGGATGGACGAGGACAGAGAAACCAGACAATTTTTTTAGGCAAGACCCACAGAAAAGAGGGCAAGAGGACGTCCACGGAAAACTTGGATTGACGAAGTGACCAAGCTCGGACACAAAAGAGGCAAACAGTTGGGTCACATGAGAGACCATGATGACTGGCGCAAATGGGTGGAGGCCCCTCCATGCTGAAAGGCACTAAGAAGGAAGAACAAGAGGGACAAGAAAATTATTTCATAAAAAATTAAGCTTTTATTGAAGTATTTGCTCACTAGCGGATCGAGACCCACGCAAATGGGAAACTATTTTTTTTTTTTCGGTCCGTATTGGCTTCATTAACTCAACTGAGCAAGGGTTAAAAAAGTCACAAGATGTCTCTTTTTAAAATAAAGATTGTGTACCTGAACTATTACTAAATGTAAGAATTTTAATAAAGTTTTTTTAAAATATATTTATTTATTGAATAATATAACATTCTGTCACTTGGACATAGGTTATAATGAGGTAAGATTTATTCTAACTATATGTATAAAACATATAAAATAAACAAAAGCAAAATAACAAATAACTAATAATCAGAAAGTTTTATAAAGTTAATATAAAAATTGTATTTATATAAGCATTATTGTATCTCAAAAAGTAGTTATCACTATATTATTATAAAAAATATTCCCATAGCAGTCTCCATGTAGTCCCCAAATTAAATACTTCTAAATCAGTCTAATTCTTATGTATGGTAGCGATGGGTGATAAATTGGACCACAAGTAACAACCTTGAATGATTCGAATGGAAGGTTCTGGAAGGAATTTTTGGTGGTGTGTTTGAGAATGAGATGTAAAGAAGCAGAGAAAACGCCTGAATCGACGAATGTTTACTGTCTAGTTTTTAACAGTAATTTGAATAACTGAATGCTTTGATTTATTATTTCCTAATAAAGATCTAATAATAATTTAAGCCTCAGAATATAATTTTAACAATTTTTTTTCTCAGTTTGCTGGTGTTCCTCAAGATAGTATCCTAGGTCCTATCCTTTATACAGTTTATACAGCTGACATCCCTACCCATTCCAACACTGTCATCACCACTTATGCCGATGACACATATATCGTATCAATTAATAACCATCCATCTATTGCATCCCAAACTCACATCACAAGTCTTGAAAAATGGTGTCAAAACTGGAGGATTAAAATAAATCCCATCAAATTACCTTTACTCTTCGTCGTAAACCTATGACTTCCTGTCCTAAAGTATCCTTTAACAATATCCCACTTATCGCTGTTGAACAAATCCGATACCTAGGACTCCACCTGGACAAACGACTCACTTGGAACCCCCATACCATACTGAAACGACTAGAAACCGCCCGACGTTTCCGACAACTCCAGCACTTACTAGACAAACGCTCTAAACTGCCAACTATTTACAAAAGACTCATATATGTTACTATAATAAGGCTTATTTGGACTTACGGTATCTAGCTTTGGGGCTCTGCTAAACCATCAAATTCTTCTCGTATCCAATCCCTACAATCCAAAATCTTTCGTAAAATCCTCAATGCTCCCTACTTTGTCACAAATAAAAAAAATCATCCATAACGACCTTAATATGTTTCCGATTTAGATCAATCCAGATACCTATCCTTCCACAATAAACTTCTGAACCATCCGAACCCTCTTGTTTCTAACCTTGCTTCCTCTTCTATTCCTGATAATCCTCCGAGGCGTCTGAAAATAAGATGGCCTCGAGATCTTCTAATATAGAAATATAATTGGAGTGCTACCAATGAGTAGTTTCTCTTCATGTTGTACATGTCATGTTACTTGTTTTATTTATTATTTAATACAGTTGTAATTTTCTTTAATAAAAAAAAGTAATAAAAACAATTATTTTTTATGACATTCCTTTAAAAATTCCCTTATATTTCTCCATTCATTAATTTATATCGATATTGATTCTTATATAATGAAGGAATGAAGGAGATCTAATAGTTCTAATAAACAGATGAAATTCGATAATGATTTGTTTACTCTTATTGAAAATTATTGTAATTAAAACAATTGAAAGTTAACAGTAACTATGGAGAGGGAATAGCTTCCCAAGGTCAAAATCAAAGTAGTATCTAAAATATTTATTTATAACTATAATAAACATTAAATATCATACAAATATAATACTTTTGTGTAAAATTGTTAATTAATAGAAATAAAACGCTCTAAGACAGAATAGAAAAGCGAAAACATTGTACTCAAAAGTACATTCCCGGTCAAAACCGAGTTTCATACAAAGTTCATAGTCTTTTAATACACATAATAAAGGAACTATTTGGTTGGTCTGCGAAGGTACTGACTAGCGTGCGTTGTGGTGGGCTTCTCGTCGACATCGCTGCACGGCGGCGAAGTTTCGTGACGTTTCGTGACGGTATTCTTGACGGAGGTGGCGAGGAAGCTCGCGACGGAAATGAGAGCCACCGAAGCGACCAGCCCTGTCGCCCACACCCAGCTCGAGTAGTTCTCCTTCTGTTTCGAAGTCAGCTGTTCGGCCGAGCCGATGAGGCTTTTCGGCATCACCCGGAATCCGGAGTCACAGGCAGACTCCTTCACGTACCTCGCCCACGAATGGTTAACGTTGTTGGCGAACTCTCTCCTCGACCACTTCCTGGCTTTGACCGGCGCTGTCCTGGAGTCGAAGTGACACAAGAGTATGTTCTTCCTCTTGGGGTTGACCCGCATCACCGTGTCAGACGATGTGATCGCTCCAACCAGAACGCCGATGTCACCCTTCACAACTTGAGCCCACTCCCACATATCTGATATGTGACAGCCACATTTCCAAGGATTACCCACAAGTTTGAGTGTTTTAAGTTCTGTGTTGAACCTAAAGGTCTGCGGGAAAACCATTGTAATGTTATTAAAAGCTAAATCTAACTTCTCCAAATTAGGTAAATAATGTAAGAATGCCAAAGTATTATTGTTCGTATTCATCAGACGATTGCCTGCCAATCTCAGATCCGTTATATTTCCAAATGATTTGAACGTTTCGATCGGTAAGTATGAAATATTGCAACGGCTAAGGTCTAGTGTTTTTAATCGATTCAGCTGTGTGGGAATAATGGAATCCTGCTGGGGCACATCAAGCGGGTTGCCGGCCAAGAGCAGCTCTTCCAAATCAGGATAGAAGACATCTTGGAAAACTGTCTCATTGAGCCTGGAAAGTCCACAGTTATTAAGCTCTAGTGTTTTCAGGTCTGTCAAATTCTTAAACAGCCCCGATTCTAAGCTTTTCAAACTGTTTCCTGACAAAATTAGTGTTTTCAAAGATGTCATTAGCGAAAACGTGTTCTTCGATACCTTAGCCAAATTGCTGTACCCCATATCCAGATGGATAAGCGTACTCAAAGGTCTAAGAAGAGAAGTAAATGCATTGTTTAAAGGGTTACGTGAAATGTCTAGTTCTTGTAAGGATGTGAATCGGTGGAAGGTATCAGGAGGAAGTCTTGTTAAGGAGCAGTTTCTCAAGGAAAGTTTCTGAAGATTGGTTAGTGGCTTGAGGGCCACTGCCAGGTCGTTCGCTGACATCGAGTTGTCAGATAGGATGAGGGTCCTCAAGTTAGTTGCCACAGCGAAAGCGTCCTCGGAAAGAGGACCGACGAGGTTGCAGTTTGACAAATCCAGAAAGTCTAAATGCTTCAGGTTCTGTCCGAGGGTGGTAGCTACATCCAGATCGCTTAATTCATTTTCTGCCATTATCAAACTTCTCATCCAAGTATTGTTTTGAAAGACATCATCTGGAAGGTTTTTTATACCTGAACGACGGAGATCTAAAAATTCTAACCGTGGAAGTTTTCCGAAGAGGACAACCCACTCAACTGTTGTAAAGCTGTTATGTGCGAGTTCTAGAACTTTGAGATTTTCTAGAACGTCGAAAGCATCGCTCGCTATATAACTGAGGTTGCACCTATTCAACTTCAAGTGCTGGAGGCTTGTTAATGGATTGAAGACTCCCGATGGAATGCTGCCTAATGGGTTACCCGACAAGTCCACGCTGCTCAGGGACTTAGTATCCGTGAAGAAGGTGGGACCGATCTTCTGCAGGGAACAGTTACTGAGGTCCAAGTTCAGGAGGGATTCAGAAATCAAGAACGGTCCATCGACGTCTTCCAGAGGGTTCATCTGAAGTTCCAACGTGATCAAACCATGGCTGTCTCTGGATAAAAAAAAAAGAAGGTTAGTTTTTATAATAAATAGGAATTAAAATAAATAATATTTATACTGTAATAATTAAGAATGTACAATTATCAAAAATAGTTATTTTTGACATCAATAGATTATCGTAATCAGAGAATTTTTTTTATTTTAATGTTTTTAAATGCAATAAATTGTTTTTTTTTTTTAATGCAGAAAAGTAATACTCTGTTACTTATTAACAAAATTAAAATGATCAATGATCACCCACTCTCTCTCTCTCTCTCTCTCTCTCTCTCTCTCTATATATATATATATATATATATATATTATATATATATATATATATATATATATATATATATATATATATAAAGCAGACAACAGTTACGTATTCGAGAGTTATTAAGAGATACTTTGCAGTAAGTGCTGTTTACAGTTGGACAGAGTTATCTATAACGGATGAGGATACGAACTAATAACGAATTATGAAATAGATTTGGTACCCAATTGAGTTTGTAAAGTTCAAAACATAACGAATAATATGAAGAGAACAATACTTAATAAAATTCCAACAGACATAAAATTTTTAGCAAGCTCAAATGTATTTTTTCATAGGAATCTAGATATATTAAATGCTCCTGAGACTTATATCAAACGAAGTCGACATATAAGTGGAACATATCGTAAGCCTTAAAATGTGATATTCTATAGAAATAAAAAAGAAAATCTAGTACTCGATATTTTTCGAGAAATTTCGCAAGGTTAAATTTTTTTATTTAAGTCAGAATTGTTGAAATTGTGCCTGACACCATACTTATGTTATGAAGAAAACAAATCTTAATAAAATTCCAACAGACATAAAACTTTTAGCAAGATGAAATGCGTTTTTCCAGAGGAATGTAGATACATTAAATGCTGCTGAGACTAATATCAAAGGAAGTCGACACATAAGTGAAATATACCATAAGCCTTAAAATGTGATATTTTATAGAAATAAAAAAGAAAATCTAGTACTCGATAATTTTGGAGAAATTTTGCAATGTTAAATTTTTGGATTTAAATCAGAATTGTTGAAATTGTGCCTAACACCATACTTATGTTATGAAGAGAACAATACTTAATAAAATTCCAACAGACATAAAACTTTTAGCAAGATGAAATGCGTTTTTCCAGAGGAATGTAGATACATTAAATGCTGCTGAGACTAATATCAAAGGAAGTCGACACATAAGTGGAATTATACCATAAATCGGCCAGAGGAGCGAGTAGGAGTTGGTTTGTACATTGTCAACAGCAAAGATCGTGTTGGTGACAGCCGAAGTTTTCGCTGCGAAACGGTGTTAATTGTGTGACCTCTGGCGCGGAATAGCAGTGGTCACTTAATTAACAGTGCCGGCACAGAACTGACGGTTGTGCACCAGGCCGTGTGTCAGCAGTAGTTGGTCTTCATGGTAATCCCAGGGTCAAAGGGGAGGAAGAACTGGACACGAGGAGGGTTTACTCATCCAGATGGGATAGTATAGTCCATAGGTGGGGATTCGCGGCATCCAATCGCTTTTGCGCGATATTTATTAACCTAGTGCTAGAAATAATTATTTAAGAAACGTCAATTTAGAAATTAATTAAATTGGATGTGGGTGTTTGCATTTAGTGATAAATAAAAATAGCATTTTTAGCACTGCCTAACCTTACTGCGGCCTCCAATGATAAGAGGCTCTCCACTAGTGTTGCAGAAAATCGTTCTTGGTCTTACAAAGTGCAAGACCAAGACCAAGGCCGCCTAACTGTTGCAAGACGAAGACCAGGAATGGTAAAAAAAAATCGATTTTTAAAATAAAAATTAGGGCAAAATAGTTACTAATAATCGACAATTTTATTTACTATATGTTAATAATTGGTATAACTTAACTACTTGGTATAACTTAAATACTTTTGCATTTAACTCCTCTAATTTTTCATTCGGGCTTAGTTACGTTTCCTCTATCTAATAAAATACAGTAATATCTCTAGTATTAACCTAATAGATGAATGCAAGACCATTACGACACTCTTGCGCAAGACCAAGACCTAGACCAAATATGAGCTTGCAAGACCAAGACTCGTCAATGTATCGCATATTGGGCAACACTATTCTTCACCTACGCTATAGGCATTGATTCATGAAAGTAAGAAAGGTAACTAATTTTCATCATGATAAAAATCTACAATAGGTATTATGCAAAAGTATTAGTATTATATTTAGGATTGTTGCGATATCGGGCAAGTTCCGATGTTTCTTATAGATATAGATATCGGCCTATATTATCGATATTAGCATATATCGAATAAAAATATCGATATCACAATTTCAAATGATGTTGCTGAGGTGCACGGGCGGATCTATGGGGGGAGTGGGGCTTTCGGGCTGAAGCCCCCAAAACGGTAAAATATAACGATGTTTTATCGAAAAAAATATTAAAAAATTATATCTTAAAGTATTATTGTTCGTGTAATTATATTTAAAAGGGCTTTAGGAATCACTTAAACATCATTTCATATAGTTTCTTTATTTTTTTTCAAAGTAGTTATTATCGTTATTTTTATAAAAAAAAGTTTCGGGCTGACGCCCCCCCGCAAAATTAAATCCTGGATCCTCTAATGCTAAGGTGTGTGCCTTAAACCACACGATACAGTGAAAACATTTACAAGGCGATATTATTAACATGAAATATAAATTATAAATAATAGCTCATTATAAAGAGCAAGAAATTCTGAAGATTTTCCTCGCTTACAGTGTACAGGTCCGATATTTGGTTTCCGAAATATTTTAATTCATACCTCCAATAAAACTCGTTATGATGAGACACTATTTTTCCTTTTCACCTCTCTAACACGGCGTCGGGTTAAGATGCAATTTTGAATAATAGCTCAATACAAAGAGGATGAAATGATAAAAATTTCCTTCACTAACAATATGCATGTCCGATTTTTAGTTTTCGATATATTTTAATCCATACACATCAATTAGTCGACTCCAACGGACTTTACACGTGCGTTACACATCGGAGATCTGATAGCTCAATCTAATTCACTCTCCACAAAAAAAAAAAAAAAAAAAATGCAAAACGCGCCTAAAGAAGTTTTTACTTAAAAAAATATTAACAATGTAATAATTTTTATGATTTTTTTGTTCTGATGGTTCAAGACGTTTCTTTGCAATCAGATTAAAACGAGTCTAGCCTATTAACCAACATTCAAAGGTAAATAACACTTTATGTGATAGAACGATATCATCTTTAATATCATATAAATGTTCTTACTTTCGCCCCCCCCTTTATATTATTTGAAATTCCTTAAACAGAAGAAAAAAACAACAACTGATTTTGATAAAGGAAAATGGAATTATGCTAATAAGTTTTTGTTCGCCGAGCTTGGGAAACTTCGTCCCTTTTTCCCTTGGCAATATTCCGTTACGACGAAGATAAGTGGAGTTTGCCGAGGCCCGACTGGTTCATTACCACTGGGACAGAATTAATAAATGCTGGGGACTACTGATGGTTCAACTTGAGCAGTTAGCAACTGTTTATGGTCTCTTAGGGAGTTGGGCTCTTAGCTTGAACTGTCGCCAAGGAATGGAGATTTAATAAAATAAATAGACTTCAGTCTGGAGTTGTATGTAAGCCCAGTTTCTCTTTGTGATAGTCCTAAAATGTTCTACTCAACAACATGAAATATTTATAATCAGATCCGAAATATTTTAATATATATATATATATATATATATATAATTTTTTTTTTTTTTTTTTACTGAAATTTACAGTATTAATAAGAATTACTACATGGGAACACTAATATATCTCTTTAAAATTCCGCAAATTACAATATACTATGGCCGAATTCTCCACTCAAGCCATGTATGTATAATTATAGCGCCTCTGCTCAGCCTCTACTGGTCTTTGATACCAGTAGTGCGGCTGAGTGAGGGGCACTGGGATCTCCTAGAGTCCTGCCTTTCCTTCCACGAGTGGGGATAAAGGCTTGGCTCAAAGATCTTGAGTGAATGAATATTTTTTTTTAGATATATTATAGAAGCATGTATGTATTGAGTAGTTATTTTCATTAATTCATTAACTTAATTTCTTTTTGTTTACTTTAGTTTATATACATTTTATTTTAGTATTATTATTTTTCTGTATCATTTATTGTGAATGGAGTATGAATGTGCTCTTTGAACACTATTATAAATGTCCTTAATTGTGACAGATTGTAATACCTCTCAATAAATACGTTTAGAAAAAATAATATACTAGTGTTCATCAAGTGGTGAAATTCGACCATAATCACTATTGAAAATTTTGTTGATAAATAATGTGATTAATGCATTAAACCATATGCATTAAATCAATAAGCAACGTACATTTATGAAAAAAACAACGCTGCAAATTATTAAACAATGATTTATTATTTCGAAACAATTTTTTTAAACTCCATTTCTTCTCCCACACCTTTCACAAGCAATGACAATTATCGAATCTCTTGTCGGTAAGAGTAGAGATAGTGGCTTGATCGGCGCGATGGAGAGGAGTTTCCAGCGGCATCCCTTCCTGTCTTGAATTTAGCATCTTTTTAAGCGAGGAAATCCCTCATCCAGCTCCTTTTGAACCTCTTAAGTGTTTTTTCGGGCATGTTAAATATAGCCATACTTTGTATAAGTGTGTTAGTATGTCCATGTATTGTAAAAAACCTTGTATTGTTTCCATATGTGATCGTTAACTGTTGTAAATGTAAACGGCATTTGAAGGTCTTTATGTAATGTTATGTTTGTGACGTACCATGGAGCTTTAGTTATGGTCCTGAAAGTTTTGAAAAGTTTTTAGTTTTCGTATGTGGGTCGTTTTGGTTGTCACGTAAATTTGTGAAGCGTAGGTCCATATGGTCGTAAGTCGATAATTGTAAGTGTTAAATTTTTGTTTTAAGTTTAATTGGGCATCTTGAGAGAAGTGAATATAACAGTCGTAGTCTGAGGTTTAAAATTTTTCT